ATCTACAAAATTTTGTATATGTGGAGCAGTACACATAGAAACAAATAGTCTTTAAGGACAAGAAATAGGTGGTAGATAGAAGAGATTCTTGTATGAAACTTCCTTCAGCCTTTTACTTTTTTATTCTATGGTTTTAATGTATAAGTATGACAGAACATATACTTATTATATGCTACATTAGATTTATAAATAGCATGTATCGGTTTACACAACAATCAATCTTCTATAATTTCAACCCTAAGTTTGAGATCAAAATTTTCATCCTACATTGATATTCTCGAACTAAATCTTTCTTTCGATTTGTCTCTTCAATAATCCTACAAACAAATTAAAATATAAAAAGGATCATTGATCTAATTGCTTATAACAAAAGAAATTTAATAAGGGCCTTTAAACCCCTTAAGATCTGGTTCATTAAATATGATGAAATGACTAACATGGGATTTCTTCGATGAATGCTTATCGTAGGAAACATGAAAAAATCATTTGACAAATAATGATCGGCTAGCTATTGTTGCAATTTCACCAACAATCTATTGCTTACTTTGAATGAATTGGCCAAAGTACTATTTTTTTCATATCAACCTTTTGATATCCTCCTTGAGTTAAAAATATGTTATATTATTGTGACAATGAATTTGATGGAAATGACAATATTGTTCTTGGTTCCCTATATTTGGATTCAATAGAGGTGGCCACTTAAGAGTTCCTTTGTGAAGAATCATCATTAGAATGTTAGCATGTGAAGAGTTTAGTGGTTTCTTTGTCATGAATCATCATCAGAATGTTGACATGTGAAGAGTTGAGTGGTGTATATTCCTTCCGAGGTTAAGTTTAACATCTCTACAGTCAAGGAGGAGAACTAGAGTTTTTCCACAACTCAAACTTATTCTGCTGAGATGCCTGCAAAGTGTCTATGGTATTCTTCTTATGTTTCCCTTACTGCGGCTCAAATTACTTTATATATATTTTAATAGCTTTGTTGGTAACACTTTGTCTCTCAACATGATGAATAAGATCGACATATGAATGCACTATCTTCTGCATCATACATGAGTAGACACGATTATGGCCTAGTCCTCTTAAAAATATACGTCTTAGTAACTTTGAATCTATTCTCAAAATTTAATGAGCTTCAATGTAGAATTGTAGAAAATAATCCTTCGGTGACTCTCCCTCACTTCGAAGAATCTCGAAGATGAGTTCTTTAACAATCCTTCAATTTACGAAAAATTGCTCTGTAAACATACTAGTGTACTCATAAGATGTATGAATGCTCCCTCCTGGAAGTGAGTGAAACTAAGTGTGTGCTTGGCTTTTAAAGGTTGCTTGAAAAGCTTGACAAAGAAGAGCATCAGAAGCTCATTGTATGTACATTATAGCTCTTAGGTGATCAACATATAAATATGAATAAGAAGTTATAACTTAAGCATAAATGCTTGAAAGCATATACCCTTTTGGAATTGGGTGTTGAAGGACTATCACCGCTAAGCTGAGTTGAGATTTTTTAGAACCAAGCTGAGCTGAGAAATGATGTTTATCCCTTAGGAGAAACTCTTTCTATTTAGAAAGATTCATTCTATAATGATCGAAAACAGTTGTTGGTGAAAGTTATTATCTAGTCTTTGATACACCATATTCAAAAGTATATAATTGAATCATTTTTAGAATAATGTGTTACTCAATATGCAGGAAACTTTTTCATTGAATAGAATACTTTGCTATTACACAATGTGTTGTTATTCTGTTGGAGGCTTCATTAATGTGTAAGGTGCATCGTTACTCTCCGCGATACATCATTACCTCACAAGGTCTACCAGAAACGGCGAGTAGGGGCCCCTGACTATGGTCGACGACAACCAAAGAGTGGCGGTCCTCAACTACGAAAGTTAGAAGTTATTGTCGGGTCCTCACTCCAAAATAACACAATAAATGTGCTCTTTCTGCTCCTTTCTTCTTCTCCTCTCCAAGTGAAAAAATGGGTATATTTATAAGTCATGAAGGAGGGGTATTTTCATCCTTTGGCCAACAAACACCATAAACGCCCGATCAAAAGGCTCACTTTGATTACCCTTGATTATAAGATAATTTTTTATGCTCCAATAACTTCTAATTGAGCGATACAGCTCAAATTGGCCATAAGCATGTCAAATTTGGAGTTCATTTGACCTCCTATCAATCTCCCAAACCCTCAAAAGTATTTTAACGGCTTGATGCGTGCTTCATTTGACTTGAATTGGATCAATTTCGGTATCATTGGGTCTGCTTCATCGAGCGGAACAATTTAACTACAAGTGCTAAAACCGTAGGCCTGGATGATTTTTAATTTTAATGAAAAAATTTCCTGCTTGAAAATTTCCTCATGATTCGTACCAAATGCCTCGAGATTCATGCCAATCGGTAAAATTAGTTCATGATGCATCAAGAGGAGAGGAATGAAGTCTATTTTTTGAAGTTGCAGACGCATTCATACCGAGAGAAATTATTGATGAAAAAAAAACAAAAAAGATAAATGTCATATAACTAGAAGCTCTGACACCTCATTAATTTATGAAAAATATAAAGTAGTGGAAACTGTTAACGGAGAACTCTTCGTTCGATTACCTTCGAATAGCTACAATGCTTGGGTTTCTACTCACTGTAGAGGGGAGAAATTGATGTAATAAGATGTAACACGTATAGAGCAGTTAACAATATTGCTTCCAAATGAAGGGATGAGATGCAACACAAAGATGTTTTGAGAATAGAGTGCACTTTTGAGAGAACTGCAGCATTTGCAGAGGCAGTTGGTAATACTGTCTTTTCCCATCTTTTTTAAGTATGTGTATGATAAACCCTTTTCTGTTTCCTTACAATATTAAGTTGATGAATATCACGTTAGCTTTATCAAATATCAGATGAATATCATCATATTTAACATCTTAAAATATTATTATATTGATAGCCTTGATAGCTCTATACCATTGTAGCAATAAACAAAAGGGTTTATTAAGATTTTTCTTATTTAATTTTTATCATTCATTTGCATGCATATCATAAAATTGCCCATATTTCAAAATATCTAATACCTACATTATAATTCTTACAACTTTAATGCATAAATTAATATTTTCAAATAAAAAATATTAACTATATTTTTAAAATTTTAAATGAGAAGATTTTTTTTTTGGTACCAATAAAATATTCTATAGGGGAGCTTATTCACAGCGATGACGTTTTGAAAACGCCACTTGCTGTTTGAAAAACATGTTTAACCGGCATTTTTAAATAAGCCTTTGACAATTTTACCTTAGATACGGATCGCAGGTAGGGCCCCGCGATCCGTGTTTCATTTGAGTGAAAGTCAACTCTCGCCCTTTTTAACAAGGATCTCTTGACACTGCTCGCCTCCTCCTCTGCCTCCTCCTCTCGCACGAATCTCTCGCGATCCCTTCTCTCCTGTGACGAAAAACCGAAGTGGCAACGAAGGGGATCTCTCGACACCGCTCGCCTGCTCCTCTGCCTCCTCCTCTCGCACGGATCTCTCGCGCTCCCTTCTCTCCTGTGCCGCCCCACCGAAGTGGCCACGCCGGGTCGCTCGTTACAGAGACCACCGAAACTCCCACTTTTCTCATCCTTCTGCACCACTCCGACCAAGGTAAGTATTGTGCCCTACCTCCTCTTGTTTCCGGTTCAAAGCATTCATGCTGAGCTCCAATGTTTTAACCCCTATCCTGACCTTCAATGTTTCTAGGGAATAGATTAGGAAATACCGCAATGATTTTTCGTGCTTTGTTTCTGGTTTAAAGCTTTCCATCCAATAATCGGAAACACTGGAATAGATTTTGCAATGCCGCAATAGTTGTAGGTGCCATGTTACAATTCAAAGCTTTTCATCCATTCTTCTTGAGGCATTGGAATAGATTTTTAAATGTCGTACAATTCGTTTATGCCTTGTTTCCTATTCAAGGCTTTCCATCCAATTTTAATTTTGAAATGTTGCAAGAGTTGTTGGTTCCTTATTTTAAGTTCAATTTTTTTTTTTAAGAACAATTTAATTGTGAATCAACCGATTATCCAGGAGGAATTGGTATTTGAGAGCCACTTGCTACTTTTTGGATATTGAATAGAGCTATTTTATTTATAGATTGGAGTTAATGTTCTTGCTAATCTAAAGAATTTTGTTCATAAATAGAGCTAAAGGGATTCACTTGCTACTTTAAGTTTCTTTAGCTCCTCATGCATATATTCTTCTATTTGAGTTTACTTTCTTCTAAAATTTAAATTAATTTATTTTAAAATTAGTGTAAAATGTAAGATATTGATTATAATTTATATTACACATAATTTAAAAATAATTTTATCAAAATTAATGTGTGAATGGTCTTTTATTTACAAAAAGTTTCAGATGAGTTATTTTCCAAAAGCACAAACCAAACAATTAAACAGTTTATCCAGAACATAAATGGAATGATCATTTATTCAGAATCAACTGTTTTCGAAACGCACAAATCAAATAATTAATCAGTTTATCAATTGATTATCAAGATAAATTATTTATCCTGATAAACTGGATAAATTGATGTTACCCCGAACGGACTCTTAAAAGAAAACGTTTCGTGTATTTTCTTTTCGCAAACTTCTACTGAATTTCCGAATAAATGTAAAAGATAAAACGCAGTTCGTCATTTTCCCCGTTCAGACGACTCATATTATATATATATTTTCAACTCCATCACAAGATTCACAATCAGTAAAGTTTCTTATTTTTATAAATTTACAGGTATATAAAAAAAGAAGCATCAAAAGGATGCATCCCAACGTGTATCACGTGCCTGTGATCCCAACGCTGATCATCAATGATACACTGCCTCCTAAAAGTTGTTTGGAAAACTGTGCACCGTAGATGGACCGCGCTTAGAATTTCTTTTGTATAACTTTTATAATATTAACCCTTTGTATATATATATATATATATATAAATTGGAATGCCATTTTTCTCCATTCCTTATTTATAATTACAAGTATAATAATATATCCGGAATTTACTATATAGCAGGCATTGGAGGTCGCACAGTGGCTTGAAGCAGGAAGAAGGAGAGAATTAGATCAACGAAGTCCATCCATTCCTCTTTTCTTCTTCCTAGGAAAGAAAAAAGAAGAGCCTTCGCAGAAAACTACAGAGAGGAAGAGAGAGAGATATATATAGAGAATGGGAAGGGCTCCTTGCTGTGAGAAGGTGGGTTTGAAGAAAGGAAGATGGACCACAGAGGAGGATCAGCTCCTTGTCAATTACATTAAAACCAATGGAGAAGGCTCTTGGAGATCCTTGCCTAAGAAAGCTGGTACTACTCATTTCTCACAAAATGTTCATAATATTTCGTTATGTTGTACATAATCTTTAACTTAGCTTTGCATGATCTTGTGTTGGGATGTGTCTTGTTAGGCTTGTTGAGATGTGGGAAGAGCTGCAGGCTGAGGTGGATTAACTATCTGAGAGAAGATTTGAAGAGAGGGAACATTTCTAAAGAAGAGGAGGACATGATAATCCAGCTTAGAGCTAACTTGGGCAACAGGTAATAATATTCAGTAACTCCATATTCCATATATTTAAAATGTAGTTTTTAATACATTTTTATATGTTTCAAGTTATAATAATGCTTTAGATCCGGAACGGTCACATCTCATAATCGAATGAGCTGTTCTCGCCCAACGATGTTTTGACATATATTATATATATATATTTTTTTGAAGTTGAACTTTAATGATATCTAATTAGTCAGTTAAACATGCTTGAGACCATATGCATACCAATTGAAAAACGCTTTTTCTGGATTAAATTCGTTGAAATTGTTAAAAACGGAAAGTCTGCTCTCCTACTCAAAACTGGAAAAAAAAACAGAAGTATTATGCAGAAGGCATCAAATCTATGCCTTATTTCTTTGACTTTTATGTCTCAATTGTTAGAAAAAATATTACATGAGGACTCCGCATGTAACCGTGAAGGTGATCGGCCCGGTAACACAAGGAAACATCGTGTTATTCAGGTGTCATTGTATTCTGGGAATATTACTGATATTATAATAACACAATAACACATCAATAATACTTGAATAACACATAATAACACCTAAATATCACACAATAACACTTGAATAACACAAAATAACACCTGAATAACACGAGGGGAATATTCTCTTGTGTTATCGGGACGATCAGCTCTACAGCGTAATTTCATAGGACTAACTCTACGTGCGGAGTCCTGATATAATATTTCTTCGAGTTGCTATTGGTTACAAAATTGATTATTATTTTTAACACGAATTCTAATCATTGTTGTTATTATTTAATTATAACTGCTTTTCTTATCAATAATTATGCACTTCTTAGTAAATATGCACTAAAAAAAATTTTAAAAATTGCATTTGAGTAGTTTCACAGGTAAAGAGGAAACACTTTTATTGATCCGAGTGTTTTTTTGTTTTCAGAAAAATTAAAGAAAATAGTATTTCAATATCACATGGTCCATTGATAGCACGAGGAAATATAATTGAAAGTAGTAGCACAGTACATCACGTGATAGACCGGCACTGCGTTAGAGAAAGAAGCATTGTACATAGGTTTGGTTCAATGGCCAACAAGAATAATTACTTTATACTAGTTTAGAAATGGGCATAACACAATGCAAAATTTATTCATTTGTGCTCGGCTCTTTTTGGCATGAAATAATTAAAAATTAAATTTATTCATATCATTTTAATATTAATGATATGTGTGTATATGAGATTGGGAACTTGGAAGGGAAAGCAGCGATCAAAAGATTTAAAAACGCACATTTTTTAGTCCCATAATTTCTAGAAAATTTTCTTGCATTCTTAAAATAATTTTAAAACAGTGAAGCTCATATAGTTCGTATGGAAACTTGTGTTTGAGAGTAGTGGATTTCATTCGTGCTAAAATCGAGCAAACAGACGATCAAATTTGAGTTGATCTCACGAGCTTAAATCGAACACGAGCTAATTTCGAACAACTGTTAATATAAACAAGAACATAATTTTAGCTAATGTCCTATTTGTTTACACTCTTATATGTAAATTTTCCCGTGTAATAATTTTACGTTAAATTTGCTCAATCATTAGAACCCGCTCTTCTAAATCCAGATCGTGTTAAATGCGTTTTTACCATGTGTGAATGGCATTTGGTAAAGCCCAAAAATGGTCCATTTTAGTTTCATTCAGGACCACTTATAGATTGGTATATCTGTATATATATATATATATATATATATATATGATTAAACTTCCTTAAAGTTTTGTTAGGAAATTTTTGTTATTGCTTAGAATTAGAGACATAACCCGGCCCGCCATTGTTTATTTTTCAGGTGGTCAGTGATTGCAGGTCATCTCCCGGGAAGAACTGACAACGAGATAAAGAACTACTGGAACTCGCATCTGAGCAAGAAAGTGGAAGGCCTGCAAATCAAAGACGATGAAAACTGCTCAGCCGGCAAGGTTCGAAAGCGGAAGGGAGGCAGGCCGAGCAAGTTGGCGAAGAAGAGGAAAGCAGAGGCTGAGATTGCAAGCAGGGAAAAGGGCGAGGAAAGACAGAGTATGGTTATCTTGGAAGACTTGCCATCAATAGAGATTTTATTGGGCGATGGAGACAACAATGAGGAAGAGGAAGGGAGAGGAAAAGAAGGGAGCAATGGGGTGGTGGTTGAGGTGCTTGCAAGTGAGGATGGGGGTGCTTCGCTTGATGAGATCGAGAAGTTGGTTGATTGGGAATTGGAGGAGATAGCTTTAAGGTTATGGGAGGAGGAAGGGGAGGCGATTAGGGAAGTGTTGCCTTGGGTTTGGGAGGATGAAAGGCTTGGGAGTGGTGGGGAGGTTGGAGGGTTTTTGGATAATGGGAGTTTTGATGCATTTAGGGATGATGATTATTTGGATAATTGGCTTTTATCTGATTTATCGGATGCCTCTTCTTCTTGGCTTGCTTCTTGTTGAGAGATGCAGAGGAATGGGAGAGGAAGATTGAGTGTCTTTGATGACCATCTCATTTTGAGCTTCTTGCATGTCAAAGAATAAAGTGGAGGAATGAGTATGATCACGTAAATTTTTATGAGTATGCGGCTATCATGAGAGCATGTAATCTATTTGAATAAAAAAGCAGGATAAAATCTTTTTTGGCTTAAAAGTAGTTGGGGTTTGATACTCTATAAATAAATTTCAGTCATGCGACACAAATCTGGAGACGCAACACGAACCTCAAGGCATTTTTTGAGCAGGAGACATTCAAAATTTAATTAAAAATTATCTAGAACTTTCATTTCAATAAACTTATGGTCGAATTCATTTGCTAGATAAGATGGACTCAACGACACCAAATTTGGCCTAATCCGACTCAAATCAAGCATGGAGGAAGATGTTAAACTATTTTTTTGGGAATTTTTAATGCATAATTGGAAGATCAAACAGAATTCAATTTTAATGAATTTATAGCCAAATCAAGCGTTTTGACACGACAAATAAGCTCAAGATCTCTCTATTCTAATATTATTAAGAGACTAAAATATTTACCGAATGTCATTCAATTAAGAGAATCTCTGGGTTGTTTGATTGGGTATTTTGAATTCTTTATTTATAAAAAAGATCTCTCTCATATCCTATAAATAAAGCACTAGCCCCCTTATGCGAGGGGGAAACTTTGAGCTAGAACAAAGACTAAAGGTTGATGGAATTGAAGTCCAACAACGCTTTTGCACTGTAGATCCAATGAACACCTCTCACTCCTACAACTATCGAACAAATTAAACAACGCCTGCTAGTCACCATTCTTAAGGAATCTTGTCATGCATTGGGGAATCTCAACGTACATTGCAGAGTAACAACGCCTCATGTTGAACAACGCACCTCAAATATGGTGCAGTGATGTCTCCCGTAAATGGTGCAACAATGCATCGAATAAGGTGCACTAGCACACCCCAATAATGGTGTAACAATATATCCCACACACGGTACAATGATGCATCTCAAAGAGGGTGTAACAGTGCACCCCCAAGTTTGTAATTTTCTCCAGACTTCCAGAACACCACTATGGCTTACATGCTCAACAACAACCTATTTGGTTCATAGCTCATGTAGCTCCTGATTGTGGGTTTTTTGCCTACGGACATCATCACAACTCACCACTACGTGACCAATTACGATCTACATAATCCAAAGCTTGTGCAGCTCATGACTCTAGCCTTTATAGATTATGAACGTCATCATAGCTCATCATTACGACGTATGTGACAAACAACAAACTATGTGGCTCATAGCTCATGCAGCTCCTAATTCCAACCCATGCCACCTACTGATATCATCACAGCTCACCACTACGACTTATGTGACTAACTACAACCTACTTGGTTCACAACTCGTGTAACCTGATTACTGAGGTAAGTGACCAAGACGCAAGTATACGTGTCAAGTATTATAAGATTTTTGGGTTAGTGTATCGATCGTAAGAGAAAATTGTCAAAAGAATTCTAATAGAGGAAGTTCTAGTTTACTAAACCATTGATTCTTGTTTGATAAAAGCAAACATGAAACTCTAACAGTCCTAAAAATATAGTAAACAAAAATGTTAGGTGACAAAAACGGCAGATGACAGAAATGGTATGGGACGAAAATGGCAGGTAAGAGCCATAAGTCCTTCAAAAGTGATGAGGCTCGGGCTCCTGTGACACCGGTATAGTGTTTTCTTTATGTTTTCCTATGAATTCTATATGATAGTTGACAATCAGGGATGAATGATTCTCCTTAGCATATGGTTAAGTTATAAAAAGAATGAAAATTATCATATTGTTGCATGCTCGTGATGACACAAAGTTTTTTAGATTCATCTTATCCCTTTCTAGCTACAAAAATCCTCATGAAACTTTGTTTATCTCACCAGATTCTTGTGTTAACCTACTTGTTCCTCTAGGTGACAGTCATGAATACTAGGTCACAAGAAGTTCTAACTTCCTACCTGATCAAATTATAGGTAAGTAATGATCAAAAGCTTAACACATCAACATTCATCATCCAAAACATAGAATTGAATATTGGAATAAAAAATAATGTCATAACTCATTGTGAATAACAACAAGATAACACTATCCTTTCAGCAAAGAAGCATGAAGGAAAGTTCAACTGTGAAACATGCAATAGAAAAGCATGAAAATTCTCACCAACCACCTTGAAGATTCAAATGAAAGAAAATAAACAAATTTACAAAGAAGTCAAGTGTACTTCAACAAATCCGCATAATCCTCTCCATTACAAAGGAATCTCTCAACAACCACTCACATACCTAGCCCTCAAACTATCTCTCTCATAAAAAACATCTCATATACTCAACAAAAAAAGTTATCCATAGAAATTTCTCAAAGGAAGAACAAAATAACCCTAGTGGTGCACTCCAAACCCTAATTTCTGATGTGAAGTGATGCACAGGGGGTAGATTTAGTGTGTGAATTTTTCAAATATTTTTTAATATTACAAAATTACACACAGAAGATATATAATAAATATGTAATATTATCCCAACAAAAATACCTTCTATGAAAATAGTTTATCTTTTAAAACTCTTTTTAAACTGCCAAATCCCTGTTAAAATCAATGAAAGTATACGTATTGCTCAAATAATAAAGGGCACTAATGAAGTCCTAGATATCGATCCCACGGGGAAGTTGGAAAATCCTTGAAGTAAGTTTTTGAAATTATTTTATAATTTAAAAATATAAAAATAAAATTAAAGTGTGAAGTTTGAATATTAAGTACTAAGGTAAATGCTATGTAAAATGCAAATGAAAAATAAAGTTAACTAACTAAGAACTAAGTGGTCTGAGAGCCCTCATATTTGCTTAATGGTTGTTCATAATGATGGGTCAATTTCTCTTAATACTTTGTTAGTCACTAGTCATGACCCCTTACACTTATAAACATCACTTTGATAACTCAAAAGGGGTGAATAATCTTTGGGATCAAACGAACACCTATAAGCTTCTATTGATAGGAGTTTGAAGTTCTTCGGGGGCTCAACCCCTCAGATTTGAAATGAGAAGGGCTCTCTACCAGGCGCGAGGCCAAATTATGCCTGAATCGCTACCTCTCCACCTGTGCAGACCCAGTACGGGCATGGTACTTTGAGTCTCTGTCCCTTTCTGGGTCATGGTTCAATATTCTGTCATTATGCGATATCATATTATCTTGAGGATGGTTATAAACTCTAGAAGCTCATTTTCCTACTAGAGTCGTGATAGTCCTCAAGTCCTCCATGATTTGGTCTGACATCTGGTTCACTATTTAGCTTCATAGTTCTTGTATCTCCTATTGCATGAACTCCTTTATGACTCTCTGGTGATTTTTCTCTTGCCATTATTTTTGGTACTTGTCCCTTGAGGACAAGTAACATTTAAGTTGGAGGATTTTGATACACCAAAATAATATATTATTTTAAGCATATATTTTATGCTTAATTTTATTGATATTGCACTTTAAAGAAGGGTATTTTCATGTTTTTGTTGCAGGTGTATCATTTTTAGGCATTTAGAGCAAAAATGACAAAAATGATGAAAAGAGCAAAAATGACAAACATTTAGAGCAAAAATGACAAAAATGATGAAATTTGGAACCAAAATAATGAATTTTGGGATTCTTGCGCATGATGCTCCAGATTAGCGCATGTGCTAGAACGGCGCAGGATGTGCCATAGATGACTTTTGTCAAATTAAGGCGGTTCGAGATGGATTTTACGTGAATTTTCAAAGGCACACTTATTCTACACACCTATTGGAGTAATTCAATGTATCTAAACACTTTTGAAGGTTCTTTTAACACTTTTGAAGGTTCTTTTTTGAAGGTTCTTTTATGAAGGGATATGTCTCTTGGATTAAATGACACGTATTTTAAATTCAAATGAGTTGACTTTTTGAGGGAAATTTTGAATTCTTTTTCAATGTAGGCAACCCAAAATAAAGAGAAGACTTCATAGAGTTGGCGAGAGAGAAGAGAGAGAGAGAGAGAGAGAAAGTTGGCTTGAGAGGCAAGAGGAGAGAAGAGGATATTTTCTTCTAGGGTTGTAAGAGGAGAGGTAAGGTGATAAGGTTCTTCTTCATTACACTTCTAAGAGAGAATTCAGTGTGATTGTAAAGAGAGAAAGGCTTGGAGAGAACTTCGAGGGATTTTCTTGGGAAGGATTGTGAGATAAGTTGTGTCTTTTATTTCTTTTGTTTTGTAAACTTATTTTTATATATGAAACCCGTGTTTTGTTGTATCCTTCTCATAAATTCTAAGTAGTCTTCTTTATCCTTCTCCCTACTTTGAGATATGGTTTTGTGAATAATAGATTTTATTTTCTACGATTTTAAATGTCAATAATTTGAAATGATTTGAACTTTGATTTTCATTTACTTTTTGATCTGGCCAATTGAAATGTTAAAACTTGTTGAGAGACATATGTTCTGAAAAGGGATATGATTTCTACAACATAGGGAGAATGACATTTGATTTCATGGGAGAGTATATCATCCATGGGATTCGGTGCAAATAAATAGAGAAATATACTTTGTTGGATGCGAAATTGGAGATTTTAAGGTGCCAGATTAAAATCCACAATTTTGTCCAGTTGATTGGAAACTGATGCGAGATTGTTAGCTCTCAGGTAAGGGAGTCGTGGGAGCTCTAAAGTGGCAGTCAGTATCCTTCCAGCCTAACCACGGAATTAAGGATACAACTCTGAATTAGTTAATGTTCTTTATAACACTCGGAAGATGGTAAAGGACAGGATTGCTCCTATTTTACACAAAACAATTTATATATATATTTTCAAATGGTTTTAATTTCTTCACAATCCATATACTCATTATAAAGGGGAATGATTCTTTCTTAAATTTGAACTTTCCGTCAAAACAAAAGCTTTGTTTAGTTTTCGTAATTTTACTTTTGAAAGTTAGTTTTTAATTAGTTAATTTTGATTTTCAACTGCATTTTACATAGCATTTACCTTAGTGTTAATATTCAAACTTCGCACTTTTTCAAACTTCGCACTTTACTTTTTTTTTTATATTTTTTAAGTTATAAAATAATTTAAAAAACTTACTTCAAGGATTTTCCAATTTCTCTTTGAGATCGATATTTAGGACTCCATTAGAGCCCTTTATTACTCGAGCGATACATATACTTGCGTTGATTTTAACGAGAATTTGACAGTTTAAAAAGAGTTTTAAAAGATAAATTAT